TTCTTGAATAGCAGTTATTAGATAAAAAAATCTCCCATGTAAAATTGTGACAGCCCAAGTTAGAGGAATAAGGTATGTGGACTCTTCCTGTGATAGAAGATCTAATATCTGATAAATCAGCTATATGAGAATACGATCTCTAATTTGGTTCATCAAACTGTATCCCTCTTCCACTACCGCATGCTGTCACCACATATATCCTGAGGCTTATCAAGATGTTTCAAATTAATTCAAGTTGCATTTACCCTATCACCAACCCCCCCTTCCCCTGCAACCAAGTCATAGTGGCAGGATGTTCCAGAAACTCGCTTGTCTTAGTTTCCCCAGCTGTAAGCTAAAGACTTTAACCTCTTTCATAAAGACCTTTGAGATGTACTGGTGAAAAATACTGCACACGAGCAGATACTTTTGTTATAGCTGGGATGCTATATGAATGCTTTTACTGTGTGTGCATATATATTTGTAATATTTATTTTACTCATTTTAACTAATGTAGCAGACTAAGATCACTAGTTCTAGTCCTCACCAACAGATAACTCAAACACATGCTTCAAAACAAGTATGCGGATCTTCCCACTATCATCGGGATCTGGATATTTCATCTTTCCTTTTGGCTCTTCCAGTTCCAAAATTATTTTGTCTTGAAGTTTATTTTCATTTGTTAAGAGTTTTGGCACATGATTTTGTGTGCATGTCTGTTCTGTAATAGAACATGTAGCCTTTAATTCCCCAAAGAAAGTGTCAATGTACAGAGCTCCAATGACATAATATTTCTTTAGGATATGTGGGATATGTGGCATCTGTATCATGCAATATGAGTTTATTACGGCAAGCCTTAATATTTATACGGTGCAAGAGTGTTAAGTGAAATATATATACCTATATATAAAAAAAATTAAAAATCAGGCATAAAACACTCCAGAGCTCAACAGAGAATTGTTACCTTAGAAGTCACACCTCAACATTTTCTTTTTCCCTTTTTCTTTTTCAACTGTTATTACAAGCAGCCTTTCGATTGCTTTAGTTGAAAGAAATGAGAGAAATTCCACTCTGAGTTTTTCTGGCATGCTAATTTCTCTGTTTGCCAGCATTTTTCTCCTTGCTGGTTTTACCTTTCCCCGATGCTAATAATTTTCTCTTCTATTTGCGTGAGGTCTCCAAGCAGCAAGAGGAAAAGCTTTTTGATTCCATTCTTTGTTTGTTTGTTTGTAATAGGGAAATAGCTTATAAATTCCATCACCTTTTCAAGCTCTAAATATTGGCTGGGGAATCTGAGGCAGCAAAACAAGCTGATTCTGTTTAGAATGTGATAGTCTAAGGCTGCAAAGTAGAGAAGTCTATGTAAAAAAACAGCAAAAAACAACAAAGAAAACAAAAAAAGCCCAACAAAAAACCAACTTAAAGCATACTCAGGCTTGTAGCCCAGGATAGATCAATATGGCAGAAACTCAAACCTTGTATTATGTGGCAAAATATTAACAATTATCAACCTGGCATCCTGGTTTTGTTCAAGATAGACATTACACTGTGGCAGTGTTGCATTTAATCTACTGCATAAAGTGTTGTGATTTTAAAGGATAGCTACCTGTAATTTTTAATGGAAACTGTTTATTTGTTAGGACCTTGTTTGCTCTAGTTGTCCATTAAGCATTACAGTGTAATTATTCTGACTGAACTCTTAATAAATAATAGCTTGGTCTATACTCTCCATGTTTATTGGATATCTTTTTCAGATTTTCTTTTTCTTCGTGGATTTGTTTTGGGGTTGTTTTTTGGTTTTGGTTTTGGTTTTGGTTTTCCCCTAATCACAGTGATCTCCAATTTTGTTATTTGTTCATTTCGTTCTACAACCAGATGGTTTTCTTGTGGGGATGATCATCAGGGACATGTTCATCTGGTTGAAGATGGCTGGCTATTGCTCGTTTGGAAGCCAAAGTGGTTAGTCTTCAGTTCACCAGACGTAGCTAGCAGAATTTTTCCTTCTTAGGGCCATTCATATGTTTCAAGTCTAGGAGCTGGGTCAGTGAGGTCAGTGAAAATGTTTACAATGTGGGCTTTGACCTTAGGGGTCTGATTGGTGACCATGAGTGAAATACAGACTATGAGCAACTTTGAAACAGCTACTAGTACAGCACTGACTGTACTTCAATAGCCTGTGGGTATCTGGAATGGTTGTTAATACTTGGAGGAATTGGCTGTCTATTCTGAATGGCTTTTAGCCTACGTCCACACAGAGCTGGGATCTCAGCTCTTCTCCTGCATGGAGCCCAGCTCAACAGCACAGAGATGCTGCTGCTTTCTAGGTCAGCCTTTATGGGAGTTTTATATGAATTATGGAATAGTTTTGTGAGGCCACAACTGTGATTACAGGTTTAATGATGCTTTAAACAAACAAAAATGTAATGACTTTCATCAGTGCAAAACAGGAGCTTCCTGCAGGGAAACACCAATAAATGTGACTTCACAGCAAGGGTACAGACCTGGCTGGCAGCCAGCAGTAATCGGCACACCATGTAGACCTTGTGTGTTAACTTAATTATAGCACAGTGCAAGCAGCAGCTCGACGGTTTGCAGTGGGGAATCACTGCCAGCATGGCACACAGTCCATGCATTTAAAAGTTACCCATCTGATCCATAGCTTTAGGTAGTGAAAGGCTGGGACTTTCACAGCGAGTTTAGCCTCGTGCTGTGACTCACAGCAATCTCACCTTTGTCAGGGAAGTTCTGGTAGGGATGAGAGCCTTTGAATGACACTGTAACCTCTCCTGTATAATCTCTGAACACCTTCTGCCTTCTCTACCGCCTCTAATCCTTCGGAATTTATCAAAGGAACAGATACTTCTGCTACTCTCTGTAATGTAGTAATGCAGTTAATGGTCAGCCACTCTGATTCTTTTTTTGTGGGTTTTTGTTTGTTTGTTTTTAATTTTTATTTCCATTTTATGGCTTTGTTATACCCTGTGTAAATTCCTGGAAAAGGCAAGCAATCTCATTTTTACTTTCAAATCATGTTCAAGTAAGCCTTCATCCTTCCTGCATATTTGACTGGCACAGGCAATAGTTATTTATGGCTTATTTGGGAACTTGTCTCTGTTGGGATTCTGTTTCTTCTGTCCCATTGACTTCAGAAAAAAAAAGTGGCTCTTTCAGAGAGCTTTTGGTTTGAAAATTTTAAAGCAAGTATGCCCAGAAGGTCAGACGTAGCATCATGTAGTTGTGATAGGATAGCTAGAATCTTTTTTCCAGGAAATACATGGTCAAACAGGAGAATTATTACCTGTCACTGTTAGTAAGAAGGCTGTGCTCCTGAACTTCTCCCAGTATCTACTTGTCAGCAATCACAAGAAGAGATGCTAAGCAAGGAGAGAAATAGATGGAGCAGCTATCCTTGTGCTTGCATAGAAAAGTCTGAGTTACAAGACTGTAGAACAGTCCCATGAGTGTTAACAGCCTGTTAAAGCAGAGCCCTGTGCTGGTTTTCCAGTTGCCTTCACGCAATAAGATAAAACAAGCCAGTAGCTTACTCAGCAGATCAGTGCTTCAGCTATACACACAACCTTTCTGTATGCTTGATCTCTCTGATCAGGTAAAAGAATGTCATGAGAACAAATACTTTACTTCAAGTCTTTTTGGGATCCAGAATTTCACAGATGGCTAGGAGAAAAGCGGGAACAAACCTAGTATTTTCAAAGCTGGAATCTTTTATTTGATTAAAGTTTAACAGGTGAATTTGAGGAGTTAGTATGACAGTGAATATCCTAGGTTGTATTTTGTTGTAATTTGCATGATGTTAGTTTGGCACCTGATGGATTCTACTGAGTTTAATAACCTTTCTGCTGATCTTTTCAAAAGGGAGGCTCAGATGGAAAGTGCTGTTTGAAATGTTCTCGTTCGTGTTCTGTGTAGGTCTTGACTATGTGAACCTTGTGACTCCAAAACCTGTGGGTTTTGGTGGACTAGGTAAGAAGGAATGAAATCCATTTCTTTTCCCTACTCCTTGAGTTTAAGGATCCCATCACACTGGACCACCGTTCATTATCTTAGCCTGTGTAACTCTGAGGTTAGTATTACAGTCTCTGGTGGGTGGAGAGATAGTGGTTTAGGGCAATTGAATGTGTTGCTGTGTGTCACATAAAAATTGTTTGTAGAGCGGAGAATGCAACTCCTAATCTCTTGACAGCGGTTCATAAAGTCTTGTACTTGCATAGAGACCCTTGGCTTGAGCAGTTTGCTCCAATAAAACAGCAGATGTATCACTGTTAATGCAGGTTCATTATTCCATTAGTCTAGTGCATTCTGGAAGGAAAGGAAAGGTGGCCAGGAAGCTGCTTTGGAAAACCTGTATTTCCAGAAACATCTGAGTAGCACTGGAGTTTAGGGCACATCTGTGTCATGTAGTGGCATGGAGTCAGTTTTTATGGGTGTTATCTTGCACTAGCACATCTCTACAAGTTTCCAGTTCTAGAGCTCGCTCAGGTGTCTCCGCATCACAATCCCACTGAATAGTGTATTTGTACTCCAAGTCACTTGTTGCCAGAGGACTTGGGCTCCTAATCTCAAAACTGTTTTTGGAAACAGTTGGTTTCCTGTCTGCAAAAAGGGGATGTGGACCATTTCCTTGTTTGCACTTTCTGTTTATGCAGCAAAGAGCAGTGTATCATTACAGATCCTTACCTCAGCCGGGGTCTCCACAGAAGATAATTGTCTTTTACGCTACTTGCAGTACTAACTAATTCAGCTCCAGGAAGAGGAGCCTTAAATTTTATTTGCTGCTTTCTTACTCCTTCTGAGTAGTTCCACTAATGACCCTTGTTAAAATCATGAATACATTTATCTTCCTGGTGTAAGTGTGCAACTTGCTGTCAGATGATTGCCTCATCACTGTACTGTCTGGAGAGCCATCAAACTTGCAGACACAGGCCATATTCCCTAATTATTCATGTAAAAGAGCAACTAATTCTGCAGCACACTGGTGTAATGTGTTCTGGTGTTTCTTCTAGGGATTTGTGTCATGTATGGAAAGGTACCGAAGAATTGGGCAGGAGCTGTACGCCTCTTTGTACAAGAACCACGTACAGGTAAAACACTGGAATACTGTGCGACAGCTTTCTGTTGTTGAATGGATGTTCTTGGACTACCCTGAGAAATCAGCCATTTCAGAAGTGAGATAAGGAGTATACCCAAAGAAATGCTAAGACTTGATGAGTCAGTTCTCTGTTCCTGACATCGCCACTCAGGTGTGGTGTAGCATCACTCAGCAATCGGATTCCTTGCTTTTTCCTCAGGAGCCTTTTTTTTTGTTTGTTTCCTTTTCTTTTTTCATTTCCTTCCCCCTCCCCTCTTCCCCTTTCCCTTCCCCTTTCCATTTCTTTGCTTTTTAAATTAATTATTCCACTCTCACAATGGCAGCAATTAAAGTGAGGACTTTGACTTTTTTTAAGACATCTCAAGCTCATAGCCAGTAACATCTTACAGGTCTGTTTCGGCTTCAGGACAATCTTGAAGACCTTCACTCTCTTTGAAATTCTCACCTCTCCTCTCCTTTAAATTGATATTTTAGTGCCCCTCAACCCCCTGCACACACCTCCTAAGTAGAAAAAAATAACTTTATGCCATGCTTGGAGGGAGCGCAGTACACTTCTGACTCAGACTTTGAGACTGTGTTTTTAGAAAGCATGGTTGTTGACATTTGACACGAACATTTGCCATAAAAAAGAGAGTGAAGAAAACATCTGTGATGCTGTTCTCCTGCCTCATTGCTTTTGAGATGGATATCTAATAAAAGCAGCCATTTTCGAGGAGGTTAAAGTTTGTGACATCCTTATATGTGTCACTATATCTTAGTTTGACGAGTAGCATCTCCCACAGCACACTTGCAATGGTCAGTCAGACTGGTGTTAGCTGTGCCTGCAGCACTCCCTTTGCAGTGGTCCCATCCAGTATGTTGGGTAGATCCCTCTGAATCACTGGGGTGGTGCCACTGCTGGATAGGAGGATGGAAGGGTGCAAAAGGTGCCACAAAGTGGTTTTGTCCCACAGATGCTGCAGTGTGGTTACAGCAAAGCAGCCAGAGACTGGATGATACTTGAGGACCAGCTTTTCTACAGAAGGGGCCCGTGGGGAGATGCATCACAATCCTTACAGCCACGATGGATTCTTGATTGTTATGAAGGCCCTTCACGGATGAGGAGGAGGATTCAACATGCAGATACCCGAGTGACAATGATGCAAATGAAGAGTGAGGTAGAAAGCTTTTGCAGGAGGTGCACAACTTCTGTAACAGTTGCTGGTGACTTTATGCTCACCTCTTTCCTCTGGTTCTCATCTCCTGACTCATCAATATGCTGTGTCATGCATAGAGAACCCACTGAATGGGTCTGGTTTTGAGAGGGGCTGCAATGTGTTTAGCAGCAACAGAATGAGTTTCCCTCTTTTTCTGGTATAAGATCGCCCCAGACAGATAAGAATATAACCCAACCATACTTTTCTGGTTTGTAGTATCTCATGGGTATAGCACTTCCCAATATATGCAACAGAGTCCAGTTAGAAGACTACACTATTTTATTCTTCTTATGCATATTGGGGTTGCTAGAACTAGTAGATGGTCAAAAGGGAAATTAGAGTGGTTTGAACTAAGCACTGAACTGTGTATGTGGGCTATTTACTACTGTCTCTATAGTGTCTATGTGCCAAATCCTATCAACCAGAAGCTGAAGCACTTCAGTGAATTAGGACGTTTCCATCTTGAGGAAATTACCAGCTTTTATGTGAAGCTTGGATTCTGGCAGTTTTCTGTAGACTGGGTGTTATGTTTTTTATCTTATAACTGGCCTCATGCAGGGTCTTCTTTGGAAAGACAGTAGTCCTTTGTCTTAGCTGTTGACATTTGTTCTTAGGTTTAATTTTTCCTTTGAGTCCTCTCTAATTAGTTTATTTGAATTTCCAAGGCATTTACTTGCAACATAGTTCTAAAACTGTGTTTTCCTCTGCATCAAGGTCCTGAGTTATGTTTAACTGTCTGCTTATTCCGCTCTAGTCATACCTAGTCTCTTTTCAGGTTCTCCTGGCAAACAGAAATGAAACAATCCCTGCTGCTGAAGTGGATCCAGGTAATCTTTTAGGACTAAATTACATCATCAAGAGGGTGGACACAAGCAGTCAAAGAGAACTGGAGTTAGTGTATGGAGTTCCAGGTCAAAATTCAGCTAGTGAAAAGAACTTATAGTCAGTGCTCTCGGCTAAAAGGTGACTGTAACATCAGGGAAAAGCCTGATGCAATTGTTATAGGTGGTATATAAACTGTCTTCAGAATTTGTTGCTCTCTGTTGCCACCAGAAAGGTCTTTAAAAAGCTATCTTGAAATGAAAGCTTTGGGCATTCTTGAACACCTGGCAAGCTCCCACCTGCTTAAACTCAGAAAAAACAGTGCAGACTTTCCCCCTGCTTTTAGTGAACGCTCCAGTTCTACCTCTGAAACAGTACTTAAAACCAAGTGGTAGACAGTTCAGAGAAGTGGTAAAAGGAATTGTAACTTTATAAGAATCTGGACAAAAATAAATGGTGAGTGGAAGGAAATCATCAAGAATATTAACACGTCTAATTGTTTTTCAGCATTTAAAATAGAACCAGAGTTTTCAAAATATTATCATTATGTCAACATTTTTCATTTTCCAAGGCCAAGCTGTCTGCTGCATAAGACATTAAAAGAAGAAAGGGAGGAAAGGGAGAGAGGGAAATATGGTACAAAAGTCAATAGTTTTTCAGAGGGGTAGGGAGGGGGAAATTGAGAAAGAACTGAAGTTTGGAAATGTCAGCCAAGTCTAAGGCTGTGGATTTCAGCTGCCTGTATGGCTGCTCTGAGTCAAGCTTCTAATGTATGCTGTTGGAAACAGGCAGTATTGTTGTATATTTTTTAGTGTGATAGGGCCTAGCAAACAAGTAAGAGTGGAGCTCATTGTTTTAGACTCCAGACAAGATTGAAGTACTACATAATTTCTGCATGAAAGTGGTTACAGTCTACATCCATGAGAAGGTTAATCTTGTCTTCCCTAACTGTGTGTGCTGCATGAATTTGCAAAACTTGGGACACAGCTTGGGCAAGATATGAATGGATAGTCCCTCCTTGGATTCTTTTAAGATCCTGCTCAGTGCATGTCCCCAAAAGACTACCATTTTTAGTTTCTCCTAATTTCATGTGAGTATGTGAACAGATTCTTCTATGAAAAATTATTTGATTATCAGATGACCAGCCCAACACAGTGCAGAAAGGAAAATAAACACATTTGTTCAGTATCTTTGAATCTTCAGTCATTATAGGAATTTAGTTTCAGTTATGACTGTGTTGTAGTTACCTGTTTTTCGTTCCCTGAACTAAGCATTCTTCTTTAGCAGTCACAGATTTTTGCTCGTCTTGCCTGTTTCCCAAGGTAGAACAGATTGGGTGAAAGTCTAAATTGCAAATGCTTTTGGTGTCATCCAGCTGCCACTAAAACTGCAATCTCTTTTATACTAATATAGGAGAGCTGACATTAAATGGAGCAGAAAGGGAGATGGATACGAAAGGATCAGATTGTAACCAGCTAACGTTCTTCCCTGCTCTACATGAAAGTTTCCATTCAGAAGACTTCTTGGAACTGTGTGTGGAGAGGCAAATTATATTGCAGGAGTTTGCAGAGAGTGAAAAGGTAGGAAAGACGACCTAGAAAATTTTCTCTGGGGAGATGGCATTTTAGAGGGTGAATTAGATGTGGATGCCTATCTTTTTCTTTCAGTTTGGGATTCAGGTGGATTCAGGCTACAGTAAACATCATCACTATCTGTTTCTGTAGAGTAATTACAATTTTCCAGCCTCTGTATGACCTCCTATATAGACTTATTCTTGAAGAGCATTTATTACTAACTCTTTGAACTAACAGGGAAAAAAAAATGGGCATGTGACTAAGGTATCCTCATACCTGTGAGACAATATTGTCTGAATTTGCCTAAAACATAGACTCTGAGAAGTTCTGTCCTGCCTTTTCACCTTTACTCATACTCAAAGCAGTGTCTGGATCAATTTTTTTTTATTACCTCTGGAAGAGTGTGCCAATTTTGTTTGGGTTACTAGTGTTGTTTAAATCTCTTCCTGCTGATTTTCTTCTCTGCCTCCCCATGAGTACTGGACAGATTATTCCATCTAAGGCCACAGAGACTTTCCCTGCTTCCAGTTTGATGCTTCCGTCATGTGTTATCTAGTCAAAACAGTGCTGTTCCTTTTCTGTTCTTGTGCTGGACTGGGTGCTCTTCTCCCAGGTTTCTTCCCAGCATACAGAAGAGACAGGTTCAGGAGCACTGGGGGAGGTCATGAGCTGTGGAGTACATAAGAGTGGCTCTGTTATGGGGATTGTAGCTGTGGTCTGATGTTCTCAATTTAATCTCTTTGCTCAAAAGCCAGCAACCTGCTGCCTTCAGCATGGTCCCCATAATGGTAACTCCAAACCAAATTCTTAATGTTGGATATGCACTGCGCATATTCTGCAGGATTGAGAGATTTTGTCATGAGGAATAGACCCAGCCTCATTCTCTGATCTTTTGCAGTGTACCTGTTTCTTCCAGTGGCATCATTCCCTCTGTTGGCCCAAAAGTTAGCATCCCATAGTGGAAGGCAAAGGTCAGACTTGGAGTATTTAAACTCAGCCATCGCAGTGCTGTGCTAGTTGTACATAGATATAGAAACAATTATTTAATTTTTATGTCTCAATACCTTTGCTGCGGATCACATTCATGGTGTCTAAGATGATGGCTTTCTCATACTATTAGAGCTGCTGGTATTAGACTGTCTAATTCATTTCCCCGCCCCTCCTCCTTTCTCTCCCATACACACCTCTCCCCAGCAGAAGGAGACTAGCATGAAAATGTGAGGCATGTTTTCTGTGTGCTGATCTCATTTTGAGCCTTCGGGCTATCTGTCTCTTCTCCATGTAACTCTGCAGGAAGCCGTCAGAAACACCAGGCATGTTTTTTTTCCAGCAGCAGTCACCGTGTTGCAGAGCTGACAGAAGTATTAAAAAAAGCAGTAGGGGGTGACATTAGCTGTCCTGTGCTCACTTAGTGCGCTGTGGTCCTGCCTTGTAAATGGCTGCCTCGTGAGCTGTTTGCACTTTAAGCAGGCAACTGGAACCATCTTACCTACTGCACTGCACAGAAAAGTCATTGGGATGCTTGGCAGACAGTAGATTGATTTCTGAAACACAGGGACAACCATTCACTAGAAAGTGGTCATTGCTTTATAATGTCACCCAGGGCTATTTTATTTTATTAGCCTTAAACAGACACCTTTGTATGTATTCAGATACGTGTGATGGCTTTTTACAGATCAAATGCTATTGACGTTGTTGGTTCAGTCTTTTCTCAGCAAGCTAAATCAGGAGAATATGGGTGCAGGTGGGATATCATCATGCTATTATAATCTAGTTTTTTGTTTTATCTTGCTTGTAAAATAGACTAGAAAACATTTCTAAGCATTGCTGTGAAATTAATTTTAAGTATTAAACAAGATGTGTTTATCACTTATGCTGTGAGAGAAAGGGGCTCTGAAGGAGAAACAGTCATACTGTGTGTTTACACAACGCCCAGACCATGCAAAGTGCAGCCTTTAGATATGTCCTTGTTTTGTTTTGTTTTGTTTTTAATGTGCTAAACTACCCACAGAGGAACACATTTCTCAGATTTAAGAGTCAAACACACTGAATTTAGGAAAAGCCAGAGATCAAATCAATGACAGTTCCATGCAATTATAGCCTTTAATGACATAATCACTTGCTGATTTTGCCAGAAGACTATCCCTTCTGCTTTACCAGTACATAGGGTGGAAGGTAAGTATATCCAAATCCATAACTTCAAAGTAATATTTAGTCATATTGACCATAAGTCTGACTCTCTCATCCAGGATCCTTGTAATACTTGTACCTTCTGCATTCTGCAGCTAGCAGGGAAGCTGTCGCTTCCAGTCATCTTCCTTACATAGTGTTACTTTATCACTAGAATATGTCCATCCTGAGCAAGCTCTATGAAAAAAAGTAGTGTTTAATCCTGTAGTTACACGGTAATATAATGCAATATACAGAGGGGCTGAAATCAGGCTGACTTTCGGGGATATGACTTTTTGTGTGACATCCCCAAAGCTTGAAACTGAAAGCCTCGATCAAACCTCCCAAGAATAGCAGGCCAGTGGCAGAACTGCCGAAAGTTGTGGGTATCACATTGACATCTGCTGGAGAAAGCACCTTTAAGACCTTTCAGGCCTTTATAATGGCCTCTGCTGAGGTGGCAGCTGGAGGGCATAGTAGGATATAGGCCTGTACTCTAGAGGGAGGAGGTTGATGAAGAATCACAAATCTCCTCCACCATGTTTCCTGCCTCACCACAACCTCCTTTCAGGTAGTTGTAGGGAGCAATAAGGTCTCCCCTCAGCCTCCTGTTTTACAGGTTAAACTACCCTTGTCCCCGTAGCTGCTCCTCATAATACTTGTGCTCTAGATCCTTCACCAGCTTCATTAACCGTCTGTGGATATGCTCCAGCACCTCAATGACTTTCTTGTAGTGAGGGGCCCAAAACTGAACACGATATTTGAGATGCAACCTCGCCAGTGCTGAGTATAGGGAGACAATATCTCCCCTAGGCCTGCTGGCCACGCTATTTTTTTGAGATGTTGTTGCTTCGCTTCCTCCCTTACAGATGGCCTCAGCAGGGGCCACTTGTGAAAGCTGGGCAAAAGGACTGCTCTTGATGTGCTTGGGAAAAATGTGACTTTGAGTTCAAAGCGGGGAACTGAGTCACCTCATTGCTGAATGTTTGGAACTGGTGCTGTAATTCCAGTAGTATAAAGTAGTATCTATGTGTATATGCCCAAAGCACAAGATGGTTTTTTCCTGCACGTGTAAGTCAATGTGTATAATTCACTAGAGAAATGTATCAGACTGCAGATGCAGATTTACAGGTGTTGCTGTCCTCTCAGAAGTTACTGGTTAGACATTTTACTGAGGCTCCATTGAGGTTACACTACGTACAGGTGAAGATTGTTTTGCATGTATCTTCAGTATTCTGAGACTGTACACACCACGGGCATGGAAGGAGAGGTTACACGCAATGACGTTACACAACATGTGCTGCTGCAGAATTGTGCAAGAGAAATGCAAATACGAACCTGTCCTGACCTAATCTATCAACTTGCCTACCAAATGCCAGAGCCAATCCTTTAAATAACCCTGGCTTTCCAGCGGAGACAGGGAGATTGGATTCCTATACCTGCAATCTGAGCCCCCGACTGTGAGATTGCCTCCCTCATCTTTACAATCCTAAAGCAGTCCTGCTGGGTTGTTAATGTGCAGTCAGCATGTACTAGACAAAGAAAGTATTGGAAGGCTTGGGGAATGATTTTCGTGTAGAAATTCTGAATTTAGGAGAAAAGTAAACCTCTGTTCCAGCAAGTCGTTCAAGGCAGTAAGAAATCCAAGCAGCTGGGGTAATGAATCGGAAGTTAACAAGAGGGCACAGCCTAGCAGAAACCTGGGCACAACGCCTTTCCTTGAAGGAGGGGCTGGAGAGAGCACAGGAGATGCCAAGGACAATAATAGAATGGACTAGAATAAGTCGGTTAGCGGGAGTGTGATCTATAGTTGGGAGAAAGGACTTGATTACAGAATAGGTTGAGTTGAAAGAGGGAACAGCTGTGAGATTCAACATCTAGAACCAGCAGAACGGTGCAGCTCCACTTGGTGGACCCAATGGGTTTAGGGGCCTTGTACTCACAGCTGTGCAAGACACCAAGGCAGCCTGTTTTCATGGGAGTACTGCTACACTTCATCCCAGTGCAAGGATGGCAGCAGTGAAGAACTTTACCTGTGCTGATGTGCAGAAGAAACAGGGACTATCTAGTGTGATCAAAGCAGAGGATTAGGAAATCAGGTCTTTGGCTCAAGCCATTCCCTTTTCTGTGCCTCAGTTTCTCCTCTTCCCTCCCTGCTACAGGAGCAGAGATTGCAATGGCTACCTCACTGCAGGAAGGAGTGCTGAAACTCTTTCTTTGATCAGATGAGAACACCTGAAGAAGGACAAGATGTTGCAGATGATTACTCCTCTGCCTTGCCCTACTTAGGCTTCTGCTGCTGTAGAGGGGCTGCTGGGAGCTCCTTCCCCAGCCCGTGCTCCTCCACCCCTACCCCAGCTCAGTGAACACTTATGCTGCTAGGTGCAAAGGACAGGATCTGACTCATGCTGTAAGTGTCACAAAAAAACCCCAGAGCAGCTTTAGTCCAATCTCTGCTGTTCTGGATGTGCTCCTTCACCATGCTACTTGTGCTCCATGGATACCTCCCTTCATATCTGCTTCTGGGTAGGGTTTTTTTGGTGTTTGCCTTGATGAAAAATGTCTTTCAATTGTAAGGCTGTAGCTGCTCCCTCTGTCTCTGCAGAGCTCCTGACAAACCCCAGGGTCCTGACTAGCACCTCAAACAAGCGCATCTGATCCCCTAACAGTTGCTATCTGTAGAATGATGCAGCAGGGAAAGAAGCAGGCAGACTTTTTGTGATTACTCCTGAGAGAGTCATGGGAGCAGTGGGAAAGGCATGAACTTGAATGAACTGACCTATGGGGAAATTTAAGGGCTCATGTTAGTTTTTGGCAGCATTTTCTGTTTGAGAGGA